ACACACCACTGTCTCCCTTCTACAGAGAGTGTCATCTGCTTGGCTCTGCTGTGTGGCAGGGCTATAAGCATCTTAAGACTAGATGGAGAGAATACAAATCCTTTGGCAGGCAAAACATCTGTGTATTTAGCTTTCCAAGGCTGCTTGCTAGGTCCCCCACAGACTGCTGGAACAGACCTTTTCAGCAAGAGCTCACCCAACGACATCCCTTCACTGCTCCCCACATCTAAGATGGCAAAATCGGCTTTTCAAGAAAAAGATGCAAGCTCTTTGTCTGTGCAGAATCATCACAACCTATACAATCAAAATTCTTCCTTAGAGAGAATCACTCATTGCAGACCGTGTCCCCAAGAGGTCTTACTGAAAACATTGATAAATAGACCCCCTCAGTGCTTGATCATACCAAATCACATTGATTAAATGTGTGTTACACTGTTGCATTTTTCAAAGTCTCCATTTAAACGGATTTAAAGCAATAGATTTTCTGGTAACCATATATTTTTTTTTTATTCTGTAAAATGGAGAATGGTAATTCCTCTGATAGAAACAAGCCTTTATATTGCACATTACGTTTCCCAGAGAAAAGTAAACCATATTCTTTAGGGAGGATGTGATAAATTAAACAACGATGGAAGTCAGTGAATGGATGCAGTGAGTTTAGATCTGCAGAAATCATTCAGTGGGCATTTTTCCTATCCATAGATACTGTACATCAGACCTAGGGTGAAAGGTTTGCTGCCTTTCTATGTAGATAATGCAACAACTGTTAATTAGTCATGCTAGAATTTTTCAGTGTCAGAAAATTGAAAACAAGTGCTTCTAACACTCAGAAGTGCTAGTTATCACAGTTTAGTTGTATGACCCAATAATTGCACTAATCTGTTATGTTTATCAGGTCTTGCATGACCACCATCACATGAGTACAATGCAAGACAAGCCCACAGAGAGACAAGAAGGTGTTTTATACACAGTTCATTTTACTGCTATGTTAGGCAAATAAAAAGACTGTGAGGTTACTGGATTTTATAGTATTCAGGGCATGTTCTCAGTCAGTGTTCTGTGCTAGGTTTTTTAAGTATCTATGTTTTCATTTGCGGTGGTGGATATTGGCCGAGCAACCCCATCACCAATCATATTTCAGTAGAAAACTGTAGATGAGACTTTTATGTCTTGTCTATCACTTAGAAAAGTGATATGCTTTGTGGAGAAGGGGGAACCACACAAAAAGATTGGTCAAAGTGAACATATCCGTGAAAAAATATTAAACCCTTCTCAAAAGACCCTTTTTTTATGCAGGACTTCTCCAGTATTAAAGGTTGAGAAAGGCTAAATAATAGTGGTGGGCAAACTTTCAAATTCCCTCTATTTGCTAGGCTAATAGGCAAGGGATCTTCAAACAAAGGGCATTAGGAGCTGGGCAGTACCCTTGAGGACATGTATCAAAACTATACACATTTTTTACAAAATCTGTTAGGCTGGGAACAGTGATTTTAATGTCTAAAGGGCAACGTTACAAATGCATAATTCCTTTAATTTACATGCTCTTGTGATGCCCTAAACCAGTGGCATCACAAGAGGGGTGTGTGGCCTGCACCCGTGTGACACCATTGGAGGGGTGACACCAAAATGACTGACTGAAAGTCTAGCAGATAGTCATGGACCAAGAACCCGACAGTTGCGCGAGAGAGGAGTGGACCCCGCAGCATACCATATCCCGCCGGGTAACGTTCGCTCCTCTCTCTGCCGGCGTCCATCACCAAGATAGCAGCCGGCAGGTAACAGAGCATGTGACATCATCATGCGCAAGCGTGATAATGCCACAAGCATGCACAATGACGTCACGGCAAGGTGTCACCCGCTACCTACTCCGGGGGACACCCTGCCTCGGGACGCCCCTGCCCTAAACCTGCCCATGAAGTGGCACATCTGTATGGTGTATACAGCCTACTATAGCAAAACTGTCCAATGGTGGGCATCACACAAAAATAAGAGTAAAAACTGGCCAGGTGCACTCTAGGGAAATTACAGAGAAACGGTCCAGTGGAAGAGGTACTCACAAGTCTTGTAATGAGGCAACGTAGATACATTTATTGGTCAACATTTCCACAAGACACTGCTTGTCTTTCATGTATCTTGTTTTTGCATTGTGTTGGTGCCTGGTATCTACTTTTTATTCACACACTTGCTTCTGATGTCAGTTATCTGTTTGGGAGCTCCCCCTCTACTTCCTGTTGATCATCACAGCTTTTACTATGCTTTCTCTTCTACACACTGATTCATTGTCTCTTTTGGAGTCTGTTGCCGGTATGGGCTCATTTCCATCAAGTGCTAACACTGCGTGATCTTTATTATTTGCTTAGTACGTTTGACTTATTTTTACTTTCACTTCACATAGCACTTCTTAGTGTGATTCTGTTGTGATGCACTAAGCTTATATTACCCTATGCTCTATCTGTGATTTTTGTCTTTTGTTACCATGTGATTGACATTGTCCTGCTTTTGTCATTATTACCATGCTGAGTTTGGGTGGTACTTGTTCACGGACTGTAAGTGTTTTGCTATAGTTTTTGTGATATGGTTTGACATTTTGGACAGGGTTGGGGTTTGGGCTCTAAATGTATGTGTGTCACATTTGTTTAGTGCCTTTAGAAAGATAAGTACCGGCTGTTGGGGGACTACAAATCCCAGCAATACATTATACAGCAATGCAAAACAGTATATGAATTAGACTCTGGACTTTGCAACCACTGGACTAAGTACTTAGTTACGCACTGAACTCAGAACTTAGTAATGTACTGGACTCTGTAAGCACTGAATTCAGGACTTATTAATGCAGTGAACTTAGTAACTCACTGCACGCATGACTTAGTAATGCACTGAACACAGGACTTAATAACGCACTGAACACAGGACTTAATAATGCACTGGACTCAGGACTTAGTAATGCATTGGACTCAGGACTTAGTAACATACTGGGCTCAGGACTCAGTATGCACTGGACTCTGGACTTCATAACGCACTGGACTCAGGACTTCCCATGCTGACGAGCGGGAGTGAAAGTTGTATGACACCCTGCCTACGAAGGACTGCACGCTGCTGCTTCCCTTTGCGTCACGCTGCTTTGCGTGCAGTGTGTCGCAGGCTTTAGACAGCTGCACAGCAATGCAAAACAGTATATGAATTAGACTCTGGACTTTGCAACCACTGGACTAAGTACTTAGTTACGCACTGAACTCAGAACTTAGTAATGTACTGGACTCTGTAAGCACTGAATTCAGGACTTATTAATGCAGTGAACTTAGTAACTCACTGCACGCATGACTTAGTAATGCACTGAACACAGGACTTAATAACGCACTGAACACAGGACTTAATAATGCACTGGACTCAGGACTTAGTAATGCATTGGACTCAGGACTTAGTAACATACTGGGCTCAGGACTCAGTATGCACTGGACTCTGGACTTCATAACGCACTGGACTCAGGACTTCCCATGCTGACGAGCGGGAGTGAAAGTTGTATGACACCCTGCCTACGAAGGACTGCACGCTGCTGCTTCCCTTTGCGTCACGCTGCTTTGCGTGCAGTGTGTCGCAGGCTTTAGACAGCTGCAGAGGAGGGGGAGAAAAACTGGAAGGACCAGTTTAAAAACAAGCCGGCTCAGATGTTAAGTCAACTTTTTTTTTAACCCAGACAAAAACGAGCAGTTAACGCTTGCAGTGTGGGGGTGGCCCCACTGCAAGGGTTAATACATTTTTCCCCTGGAGTTCTTCTTTAATGAAATGTCACTGGTAACATTTCAATAAAGTTTTACCAAAAAAATTAAAAACAGTGGCACACCAGCAGCCATGCAGTTGAGCACTGCTGCTGGTGTGAACAAGCTCTAAAAGTTAGTGTTTTGTACAATTTTTATACATATAATTTTTCTTTTTTCTGTGTGTGTGTTGGACTGTAGCATCAAAAGGGGACTGACAGGGAATAAAGTAAAATGCATGTTTACTTTGAGCTTTACCATTCTGCAATGTTATATAAAAGTCACATTAACATCATTTTAATCCGCAGAGTTTGTGTAAATATATGGGCGTGCACAAATTATGTAAACATTATCTAGGGAAACATTTGAGAATGATTTTACTATTTGTTCCTGGTGATAACAATATATGTATCCACATTTGCTACCAAATGAAATCCCTATCTATCCTGTAAAAAAAAGGATGTTTAATACGTTAGGGTAGACTACAAAACCTAAAAGATATAACGTGCGGAACCGAGACATCACCGAAATGAAAAGAACGCTCTGGGATTTGGGAAGAAAAAGACTCGGGGACTCAAGTGGTTCACAGTTCATTAATCCCGCTGGGCGAATCCAATAAGATGAAGCGGAATCATTTTGTTTGCAACCTGTAAAGTGTACAACCAACACTTCCTGGCATAGCAGAAGAAAGAAACCATAAGGTACAGTATGTGAGGGATTAGCGCTACGCTATCTTGACACGGTAGCAGAAAAAAATCATAAAGCGTACGCAGGATTTGCACCACGGTGTATAGATACGGAAGCAGGGCAATTCCTAAAGTGTATGTGGGATTAGCTGTATCTGTCAGTATAGCTAAGTAACATAGATGTTTGTGAATAATGTATACAGTATGACAGGAGTCTTCAACTATAATAGCAAAATGTGATATGTATTTGCAAGCTCTGAAATAGAAAAAGTGGATGTGTGTGACAGCATGAACATGAATTATATATCTATGAAGGACAGCAGAAGGAAAGCTGTACTATTCAGGCAAGCTTTTGTAACAAACATGAAGAAAGAGGGGGGAAAAAGGAAGCATTTGGGGGGGAGATTCGGGTCAAGATATACAGCAATTTGAATAAGCAGCTTTGCTCAGAGGAAGGAAAAGAAAAAAACTCTACGTGGAGGATATAGTGAGTCAGTCTGAAGTCTCCATTGGCTGATAATATAATCCTCATTATTGGTTGCTGACATAGGAAGGAAGGCGAAGATAGAAATATCCTTCCTGGTTTCTATGGCAAGACTGAAAAGGTCAGAGTGCTGGAATAAGAAATGTTTACTGCGTAGAGCGAGCTTGGAAAGTGCAGCTCTGGGCTGTGAGGGAGCTGGCAGGGCTCACAGAGTGACACATTTCTCTCCATAGGCTGCTGGAGAAAGAGACATGGCGGGGGGAGCTGCACACCTCCTGCTGCATTTGTCTTCTGTGTTTATGACACAGCCCTGCGTGAAAATGCTATTGTGTGCTATATGCTTACACTGGAATATTTTAGAAGGATGTCCACTATTAATGGTGGAATATGAACAAAGTAAGCAATATTTAAACAATCTTATAGCCTTAGACAATGTAAACAAACACAGTGGGCCAGATACACTCAGGCAGGGGTGGGCAACTCTGACCCTCCAGCTGTCCTTTAACTACAAGTCCCATAATCCCTCTGAGCATCATGCCTGCGGCTGTCAGAGTCTTGCATTGCCTCATGGAACTTGTAGTTCCACAACAACTGGAGGGCTGGAGATGCCTACCCATGCACTAAGGAGATTGTTGAGGATTGTGAATTGCCGCATGCAACACATTTTGGTGCATTGCATGTCAAATAAACTATCATGCCGTAGTCCATATACAGTAGAGGGGAATTTATCAAAACTGGAGCTGGCAGAATCTGGAGCAGTTGCTCACAGTAACTAGTCAGGTTTTGGTCTTTGGTTTGTTCACTTACGCTTTGAATATGACAGAGGGAAGCTGATTCCAATGCACAGTTGCTCCAGATTTTGTCTGCTCCAGTTTTGATAAATGTATCAGTCCTCCTTTGCAATATTGCATTCCACAAATGCACAGCAAACTTGGGGAAAACCTGCACTTGCCCAACATGTGCAACGTGCTTGTGGTGCTATTACTGGTTAATGGCACAACAAATGTGGCCGGGAAAATGTGCCGTGTTCCTATGCATTCACGCAAACATGCACAGGGGGAAAAAAGAATGCATGTAGCAAATTTTGCTGCATGAGCTACTCTTCCGGCATTCGATGCGCGTTCAGCACCCTCTGAAATTAATAGGAACATATGCCAAATGCCTGCGAACACACGTCACTGTGATGTGCGTTCCTGCTACACAATGGTGTGAGTGGGAACTTGTTAGTAGAAAATACGTGCAGCAAATCTATGCGGAAGCCATACTGCCCAGAGGGCCCTGATCGAGGAAGCGTGGGTTCCGCGTAGATCTTCTGTAAATATATGCTACTAACACCTCTTTTAAAACATTGTGTTTATGGAGTACTGGCTATTTCTACTTTAGATTTAAATGGTGGCACGCCCTACTACACTGATTTTGGGCGATAGTGTGGGACAGGATGTTGTCACAGCACATATAGTTTATTAACAGAATGTGCAACTGTCTTGCAACATCATCCCTTTGGTGAGCCATAGCATACCTCTATGGCTCCATATATTGACAAACTAACTGATATTTATTTGGTGCAGATTGCAAGACTATTTGTGCAAAAAGTTGCACTTAGGACTTTTTTTTTTTTTAACAAATGCCACGCTAATCAAATCTTAATAATCATTTCAAAGCCTTTAAACTGAAATTTGGCATAGCCCCCCAAAAATGATTAATGGGGTTATTTACAAAACTAGCCGAAGGATCAGCCGTAGCTCCGGCTGATCCTTCGGCTAGCTTCGGTTGAGGGAGCCCTTCCGTTCAGTAGAACCAAAGGGCTATTCACTATAGCCCATACAGCTACTGAAGGCGGTCGAGCAGAAGGCATATGCTTCGGCTCGACTGAGCCGAAGTGACAGCCAAAGCGGGGGGCGAATGGCTGGCCGAAGGCCTCGCAAGTGACAGTTGGGCGAAGCCAGCTGTGTTCTCACAGCTGGCTCCGCCTAGTTGTTATGACAGATAAGCGTCCCCAAATGTCCTGGGGACGCTTAACTGTCATTAAACAATGACAACTGGGCGGAGCTGGCGTGACGTCATGGCCGTCTCCACCTAGTTGTTATTCATTCGACTGAGCCGAAGTGACAGCCAAAGCGGGGGGCGAATGGCTGGCCGAAGGCCTCGCAAGTGACAGTTGGGCGAAGCCAGCTGTGTTCTCACAGCTGGCTCCGCCTAGTTGTTATGACAGATAAGCGTCCCCAAATGTCCTGGGGACGCTTAACTGTCATTAAACAATGACAACTGGGCGGAGCTGGCGTGACGTCATGGCCGTCTCCACCTAGTTGTTATTCATTGGCTGGGACCTGCTAGAAGACTCTAGCAGGTCCTAGCCAATAGGGCGGAGCTAGCTGTCACAGCTAGCTTTGCCCAGTTGTTGTTTTTTTATCTTTATTATTTAAAATGTATTATTTATTTACATTTTGAAACATTTTTTTCAACTTTTTTTTCAATTTCCTATTCTGCTTGGCAGCACGGAGGTACCGTGCAGAATAGCTGAGCCGAATGTCGCTGTACGGCTGAAATCAGCCGTACAAGCCTGAAGTGAATAGCCGAACAGCGTTCGGCTCACTTCACTTTGGGTGGGTTATTCACTCGGCTGCCTTCAACAGCTTTGCGAGTAACCCTGTTAATATATTTAAATATGTGTGACGTCTGATATTCAGAATGGCTGTAAGTGTAGTAAAGCAATAAACAGACAGCGTAACAATCTTAAAAACTAAAGTTTTGAGCAATAAATACTTTTTTTTTGCCTACATACTTATATGAGCAATTAAGCAGTGATAATGCCACCAATGTGTTGCAATGCAGCTAGTGAACGTTGTCACCATACGAAGGGAAATGACCGCATCTGGCAGGATCAATAGGTAATATAAAGCTGACACATTGACAAGACAGAATAATGGGATGTATCACTGTACACCCCATTGTGTATCACTAACCTCTGAAGGTTTGGATTTAGGATTAACATACATTTTATTTATTGATGTATTTTTGTAACATAAGATATCCTAGCAAGTTATGTGTAAAGTTGCCACCTGCTTAGTATTTGTACTGGTTCAGCTGGTAAAAGTTGAACACATTGCCATGTTCCAATATGATAATATGAAAGAGATGGTAAGGCCAGTATATTTTTTCCTCAGAAATGGTGGCAACGTTAGCTTCGGTGGCGGACCTAGGGAACAAAGGGCCCTGGTGCAAGATTATTTTTGCCCCCCCCCCAAAAAAAAACCCCCACAAACCCCCCTAACCCATATCACCTTTAGCA